ATATATATAGGTGCATGTGTATCTGTTAAGCGATTAACATTAATTGCACAATTTTCCATAATTATTCAAAATGAGATGGTCAGGTCCGCTGAACGGTTTTCGGGCCACGCTTGGGTATACTTTCAGATTGTGTTTGTGTATTAAGAGAACTTTTTTTTCTCTCCATATTATCCATTGTGCTCATCAGCGAAAATGGCAGTTTTTGGAGTATACTGTATAATATTACATATAATTATAACACATAATTTGAAGTATATTGTAATTGAAACAATTTGTTTGAATGGTAAACTGTTGTTCCTTGAATAATTGGACACACGTGACAATAAGGTATTTTAAGTAAATACAATGCGCAACAGGCATATATATATATATATATATATATATATATAATATATATAGTGTAAATGCATTTGTATACTTGAGTACGTCTACATGTTGACTTTATTCCTTTTCTTTTCAGAGTGAGATATACTCAATGAATGATCATTAAAACTCAACTGGCACAAACACACAAACACTGCAAAGTGAATTGCAAAATCAAAGCATCCATAAGTGTGTATTGTCCTGTGCAGTGCATGCCTAACCATCCCATCCCTAACATTTAGACTTCCACAATCAGCATTCCACGAACGGTGCTTTGGCATCATTTCCCACTCCTTCTCTCAAAGATGGATGGATGGAGGTGGGGCTGAGAGGAGAGGGAGTGAGGCATGGACGGGGGTAGTCACGATGCTACAGCACGTGCTGCCGTCTCCCCCGTCAGCCAATTACGAGCAACGCCCCCACCCCCTGCATCAAGGCACATGGGGGCCCTGGCACGCAAGAATGTGAAGCAAGAGAGAGAAGGAATTCAAAGTGACTCACCCACTTTTAGCTTTCCACTTATCCTCCTTTCGTTCAAAAGGATTCCCCCATCGTTCATACCTCTGTCGCCATTGACCAATTAGCTGATATTAGGCTTTTTATACACTCAATGTTGTGTGTGTGTGTGTGTGTGTGTGTGTGTGTGTGTGTGTGTGTGTGTGTGTGTGTGTGTGTGTGTGTGTGTGTGTGTGTGTGTGTGTGTGTGCGTGTGTGTGTTTAACAGAAATTCAATCCCACTGTTTTATCAGGTGGTGATTCCCATTGAGAAGGGCTTTGTATAATATAGCTCTGTTTTGAATAGAAACAGATAAACATTTGAGTTTGGACCAACCAACAACACACAAATTGTATGTGCTGGGTATTCAGAGATGGGGGATTTGAGTTGGTCTTTTTAGAACTTGTGACTTGCTTGCCCAAAATTTGGAAACGACTTGACTTGACTTGGGGCTTGCTATCGAAGTGACTCGACTTGACTTAGACTTGAGATACATGACTTGTCATCTTTGTTTATCGTTTGGAATCTGCATTTGAACACAGTTTGCCGTTTTAGGGGGGAATGCAAGAAAGGAAAAAAAAACAGGGGTTTTGTTTCATTCACGCCAACCTGGTAACCCAGTCACTTGCTGGGGTCAAGTGGCGACGCAAACAGAAAAAGCAATTGGAGCAATCCAGAGGATCGTTAATTTTAATTAATTGATTGTCTTGTCGACGACGCGGACAAACAGAGGATGGCAAAATGCATGATCTGCATCTCACGGAATGAAGACATGACGTCTAACTTTAGTCGTCATTACAAAACACACAGACAGGTCAGCTGACATCACAGTTTGGCTCACGATCCTCCCCTCGCCCTCTCTTTAATAATAAGGTGAAGCAATGTGCACTTCGAAAATAGCTTCTATGCACCAAAACATAGATGCCAACAGCTGAATGTCAAAGAAGCAAAATGCCATGTTGCTAACAGTCAACTGTAGAGTGAAACGATAGATTAGACACCGTGGAGATCCTATCTTGAAACGAAACAATTTAAAACATCGATCATAATTTCAAGCATAGACATCGATTCATCCAACATAGTCAAACACAGAGTATTGTTTTGATCGTAAGCGTGTCCGCCGAATTTGATGTGGCAGCGCCCCTGTAAACTACCGCACGTCAACTTAAGCTTTATGTACCAGTATGTAATAGCTTTTAAATTAAACGATAAGACGTGCTTACTCCCACATTCACATTCCGCATTCAGCATTATCACCACATTAACATTGTACCACTCAGATAAACGCTAGTGTGAAAAAAATAAGGCATTCTTTTCATCATTTAAGTGTAGACATTCATTTGACATATGAAGTTGTTTTTCTTTGCCATTTTAGAGATGTAAATGTTCATAAAATGTTTTGAGATAATGTATTTTTCATCATATGATCAGTGGAAAACAGGATTTTATTATCATTCGAACATATGTTGTGACTGAGCAAGATTTTCTGACTAGACTTGCTGGAAATTTGGTCCCGACTTCGACTTGTTTGATTTTTTTTTTTTCCCTCCACAGTTTTTCTGGCAGTATTGTATTTGCGATAACATCGGCAGCTAACGGGATTAAGTAGATTGGTGTGTGCTGCCGTGCTTCAAAATCCTTATAGTGACATAGAAAAAAAAATAGACCAAGCGGCAACTCCTAATGTGAGTAACTTGCTGGGGCATTAGTACGTCATGGCACCTACCTCTCTATATTAGAGACATCGATGGAGCTAATTTGGGAGGCTTTTGAGTTTTCACCATAGTGTGTGGGCTGAGCATCGGGCCTTCGTTTGAAGCAGCAGATTTTGAGCCACTCGGACTTCTTCAAATTTGAACAAAGAATTCAAGAGTGACGGGTGACGCTAAAATGCAAATCTTTCGAGTTTTTAGCATGGTGTGTGGCCAGAGCATGAGGGATTACTTTGATGGTTCATCATTAAAAAACATGAAGCTCTACAAAGGGTGTTAAAGTTGTGAATGTGTGTGTTGCCTACCATCTGAGTCAATGCTGTTGAGGGCCGTTGGGGGGATGATGGATACTTTGCACTGACCAAGAGGACACTTACGAGGGTACATGTCCATGCAGGCTGTGTGTACCTGGAGTCAAACACACGCACGCACGCACGCACGCACGCACGCACGCGCGCACGCACACACACACACACACACACACACACACACACACACACACACACAGATGAAGCAATACTTTTTGATTGTAGAGTGCTGATTTGAAAAAAAAAGTATTCTGTGCAATAGAACAAAAATGGCCCTCTTTGGGCTGACAACTTAACATGGTGGAGAGGGCTATGTGTCCCAATGATGCTCGGAGCTAATTTTCCAGAGCTTTAAACCTGTGGCAGGGTCACCCATGGCAAATAGAGCCAAGGTGAGGTACCAGACTGCTCAAAAACCCCTTGTGATTCAAATTAATTTTGGAATTAAATTTCCCTCGCATGGACACAGGTCACTGAGCACCCCCCTCTTGGGCCTGGAGGTGCTGGACGGGCCTCCCCGAAGAGGCAACATGGGTCCCGCTGCAATGGGCTCAACAGCTGTGGGAGTGGCCAAGGGTGTTGAGTGTATTGAGAGCCATCGAAGCCAGGTTCCTTGGCAGTGCTACCCCAAGCTACAAAAGCTGGCTCTCGTGACGTGGAATGTCTCCTCTCTGGCAGGGAAAGTGCAAGGTCATGATCTTCCCACTGGACATAATCGGGCTGGCCTTGACACACAGATGGGATCTAGTACCAGTCCGCTTGAAAGGACTCTATTCCTCTCTGGCGTTTCTCACAGTCCGGGAGTGGGGAAATGTATTGCCCCCCTGTGCCTTTTACTGGGTTTTATGCGTATGACTGTTGTTCGTCCTCAGCACCAAACAGCAGTTCACAGTACCCTACAATACTTCGAAGACTTCTCCACATTTCCACCCCGTGAGGAAGTAAAATCTGAGGAAAGTGAGGCGGGGTTTCCTATCCTCGCCGGATAAGGTCACTGTGGTGGTAAAAAAGCTCCACGGTGACAGGGCCAAGGACTACTCTGGACACACTGGGAAGACTATGTCTCCCGGCTGGCATGGGCATGCCTCAGACTTCCCTGCTTAAGCTGCTGCCCCTGTGACCCGACTCCAAATAAGTGTCAAAAAATGAATGGATAACAAGAAAATCTGCATGTGCAGGAGGGAAAATATAAACTGCCGTTTTATTAATTGCAGACTTTTTTCCCCATGTTTTTTCCATGCGACAGATGTCTTACCATAGCTTTACACCAGAGGCAGCGCCAGTCCTGCAGCCTCAACACACTGCCGCATGTCTTGTCACACACGGCACACTTGGCACTGACGGGCAGGTTGCCCTCCAACCACTGGTGAGGCATCGCAATCTGTTGTCCAAACACAGGAAGACACATATCTTACTACCACTACTAATCGTTATCATGTTGTTTTTGTTAAAAATAACAATGCTGTATTATTTTCATTTCATGATTAGAAAGCCCACTCAGTGGACTTCATACAACACATATACACACTTACCCCATCCTCATCCTCAATGATGTCCTTGCCGATGGAGGCCAGAGTTGTCCATTTGCAGTTGTTAGTGGCTCTAACTGCACAGCGTTTGTGGGCCTTGAATTTGCACACTGAAATGTCCCCCCCAAAATAAAAAAAAAAAAGCTCACACACACATACTGTGATTGTAAAATGACATAACCATCAAGCCAGGATTGGGGATTTATGCATCCGGTACTCTGATCCATCAAAAATTGACCTTTTCATTATAGTTTACAATTTACAATTTACCCCCCCGCCAAGGAAGATGTGAAACCATAGAAGTCAGGACGGAGAACACTTTAAATGGAAGGAGGGCAATCATAGTAAGGTATACACAAAATCTAATAGCATCCAATACAAGAGCTGGATCAAAAGTACATTTTTACAAAGAAAATAACTCCTTATTAGGTAATCAATTCACATTAGATTTACTACTGTGGTTGTAGCTTGCAGCACTGTACAACCGCACTGCATCACATTTTAGAAATGTATTATTGTTAAAGAACCTGTTTCCATCTTGTCATCCATCTCATGAGAGACATACAAATCGTGTGTACAGTTTCACAACTGCAAACTCCCTCTTTAAGGGGAAGTTAATTGTGTATTGAACACAAGCATGCATTATTGAGCCAGTACCTGACTACAAACACCTGAGAACATACTGTACAAATTAATTTGATTGACAGGTTGAGGCCGAGCAGGGCATTTTTTCAGCACCTTAAGTGGACATGCCCACAAAGGCCTACTGACTGGAAGGTGAGCTCTATTTTCCATGATTTTGGAGCCGTATTTTATATACATGGCAATTATTCTTTAAATTCATTCAAAATCATGTACATGACATTTTTTTGTCGCTTTAAAGGGTGTTTAATATTAAAGGTTTAAAATGCCTTTGGTGAGATGCAGTTAAGAGAGAAATACATTCAATCAATTGTTTTACACATGAAAACAACACAATTAAGTTAAATGTGCGGCACTGAATAGGAAACATTAATATAATGTTTCACAAATATTTTCCATGCAGTTAGGCAGTATGAATAGAACATTTACCCTACCTCCATCAAATACCCCCACTCCCAAACACACGTACTCACATATGCTGGTCAGTCAGTAAACTCAAAACAAATATCGTACGGTAAAGTGATATCCGGGAGCAGTGATCAATGTTTCAGTCTAGTCGACTGTTAAACATTGTTAGGAAGCATTAGTAGAGCATTAAGACAATGCACAGAACATGATAGCCAAAACATCCTTTCTGTTTGGCACTGAAATGGAGTCTTCATTGTGTGCGTGTGTGTGTGTGTGTGTGTGTGTGTGTGTGTGTGTGTGTGTGTGTGTGTGTGTGCGTGTGTGTGTGTGTGTGTGTGTGCGTTTGTTTCAGTGGGTGTATACACAAGTGCGTTTGTGGCCAAGGAGCGCAAATCAATCTCTGCCACGACAGCCGGCCGAAGAAATCGAAGGGAAATCCGAGTCGATGATTGCTGCGAGACACTTGTGCAATCTATGTGCTCCTGTCACTTTCTCTTTCAAATTTTCTTTTTCACTCTTTCTCCCTTTCTCTCTCTCTCTCTCTCTCTCTCTCTCTCTCTCTCTCTCCCTCTCTCTCTCTCTCTCTTTCTCTCTCCCTTCTCTTTTACATGCGCGCTCAAACACACACACACACACACACACACACACACACACACACACACACACACACACACACACACACACACACACACATTTGTACTTTATGTCCGTTAACAGCATAAAGGGCAGTTATCATTCCACAGCCGTACAACACTATGAATAACAGTAAATATTTTGATTCACAAAAGTATAAGCTACAAAAACACCACTTATCAACGCCATCCATATACATAACCCATCCATGAGAATGCTGCACTCAAAGTACATGTAAAAGAAAATGCAAGAAGATCTTAACTTGTTGATGATGTAATGTTGGCCGCTGTGAAGTGGGCACTTGGAGATTGAATTCTACCCACGAGTGTGTGCCAAGGTGTGACAACACACCTGCTTTTAGCTGGTCTAAGGTCGAGTGAACTTTCTGTTCCCAAGTTACCAGGTGCTTTGTGGGTGCCTAACAGAAAACGCTCTTGGTTCACCGGAACACCAAGCGAGGTGAGGTCTGCCAAATTCTCAAACACGGTAAACTAGACTTACCCAGGCCGAAAATTAAAGATGACAAAAATAGGGCTCACAGTGTTAACATGATTCAAATGTGTCAGTCGTTAAATGGACAGTGTGGCAATTGTGCAGAAATTTAATTAGTATTCAGACACACCACCAGTGCCCGACACGTGCACCCACACTCAGGGGAGCATCAGCTAAATGAACGGTCGAAAGGAGGTCCGGGTGATACTCACTAAGTTCTGCTTCCTGTCACTGACACTTTACACCAGTCAGAAATATGGCGTCACAGACGTGATCGTCTGCTGGCAGATTGTATTAACGCGCAGAGATGTGTGAAAAACACAAGTTGATGCTCATGCAGTAGCGAGCAGGCAGACAAGTGTTTATAGCAGGTCACACACTTTTCACTTCAAGACAAAAGTTTGGCGGATATGCTGCAGTATTTATGCCACGTTGGAACATTGACAACAGTGACATCACTCAGGCAAGCAAGTGTGTAGAATCACACGGTGGGGAGTTGGGCCTAGGCATAGCTTACGTTGCAACCAATCGCTCGTTAGCGATTCAAATTGAGATACAAATTAGCAGGAATCTGAATTTTTAGAATTCTAATCAGGACGAATCATAGCATATTATTGCGTGGATTATCACAGAAGGATGCCTGAATTGCAAATTTATTGCTTTCTGGATTTTACTGAAATGTAATTAATCTTATTGCTCAGAGTGGACAAATTCTCTCTTATTTCAATCAAGTTTCCAGTTTTAGGTGATCATCACACTTAACCTGGTAAAAAAAAAAGAGCCTAAGGAAAAAAACTATTCTTCAAAGTTTATCCTTTGGATGTCACACAAGATTTGCTGACATCTCATCATGATGGTTTAAACATCAAGGGCTCAATATTCGTGCCCAAGTCTGGCATGGCAAGCTGGCTAACTCTGCGGGGAGGGTTGCCAGCTGACGCACAAAAAAAGGGCAGTTTGCGCTGTTCTGGGTGTGAACACAGCAGACTCGATTTAACTGCCAACTGAAGCAACATCTCTCAATCCCTTTAAATGTGTCATACCGATAGTCCTTGACAGGGCAGAGCAGAAGAAGAAGCAGCTTTTGTATGCACAAAGTATGTTTAAAAGGAACTGCAAGAAGGTCCCTATGGACGGATGGTGTCACGATGACAGGTGAGTTCAGATGAAAATAAAGCCCTAAATGTAGAGAGCAAAATATTACCTCTCTCAGCATAATAAAATGGAATTGTATAACACCACAAACTACAACCACATTAATAAACACATTAAGTTACTGCCAACAGTGAGCATTTTTATCTTTGTATATTAAGAATTTACTATGCAAGCCCTTTAGTGGTTCTCAAATTGTGCACGTGTACCGAATGAAGGGTCAGGTTTTTATTGTTCACACAAATACATCCACTGTGTTTTTTTTTTTTTTTTTTGTCAGGTCCTTGACAGTAAAGGTGTGTTTTGGCACGTGTTTACATACCTTCGCAGGAGAGGCCGTGAGACGTGACCCCAGACAAGCTATCTTTGCAGACGTTGCAAAAGGTGGGCCGTGCGTGCGAGCAGGCGTACCAGTTGTGCATCCCTGAGAAATGTTCCACATTAAACTGAGCCGTCTGGCAAAGGAGAGGTTAAAATAGGTTGGCAGCACCGGGATAGCGGGTACAATCAGACAACAAGGCAAGTACAGTGCACATCATTGCCCTCGCAATAAAAGCCTTAGTGTAGGAACACAGGATGGGCATCAATCATCAATTAACTGATCATGAAGAATTTTGTCAATAGTATGCAATTTAATGTCTTGGAGTAATGCATGCCTGATGGATTTCACTTCAGGGTTGAAACCAGCAGAGAGGCTGTTGATTCAATCTCAACTAATTTGCTGTGTTAAAATAAAACAACATGACATCAACTGTGGGAAGCTGAGCTGTATCCAAGTGATGCATAACTCATTATTCTGCTCAATACGACACGAGTGTGGGAAGAGAAGTTCAGAAAATAAAATCATGGATTAATTTAACTATTAATTTTCCACACACTGTAGTAGGGCTGTACGATATGGCTAAAATTTAACCTCTGACATTCCAGTGTACTAAATATTTTTGCCAGAAATTTTGATATTAATATGGTCCAGAGGAAAAAAAAATAGCAATCCAAAAGGATGTGGAAAGTGTAGTTCTGGTGTTTTTTTTTTCGAACTTACTGGCAGCCATCAACATTAACAAAGTCAGCACTAAATTAAAAATAATTCAATTCAGATTGTTATCAATCTATATCATCTTGGTCATTTTGAAATTATAAATATGGTAATGTACTGTTCTAAAACACAACATATGTGTACCATCTGTATATAATACACAGTGAACACAGAAGTGGATTTCTTGCATGTGTGGCTGCGTGTGTTCTTCCTCCCTCTTGCCCTCTGCAAAACAATTATCATCTGCTGGTTTTCACAGTCAATCAACAGCAAACTTGAAAGGAGGAATTTGGTTGGTTGAACTGAGATTTACATGCAACAAACGTGGCAAGGCCACATGACTGATATCGTCATCATTTCGATGAAAGTATCTTGAATGTTCATCGATCGATTTTGATACATTGCCGAGCCCAACATCATAGGCAATAATAAAAGTGTACCCAAATCCTTCATGTTGAATTATAATTAATTCAAAAAAATTGAAATGTAATTGTGGCACACATGTGGCTTTTCAAAAGAGTGAGAAGGAGCGAAAAGTATTTCCCACTGGCTATCTTTCGCTAAACTAAATCCGGTAACTTTACACAGATATCAACATAAATCTTTTATTAAATTCAAATACTGTAATAACATTGAACTGACCATGGACAGCAAATGCCCCACCACAATAGGAATGTAAGAAAAATGCTCCAAACTGGTCCCATGAATGTTGCATTAGTTTGAAGCATTTAAAAAAATTAAGAAATTTGCCATTTTGGACCAAATCAAACAATTACAAACAAAAGTCACTCGCCCGTCTTTTCACAAAATAGGAGTTCCATTCTATGGCCAAGTACCAATAAAATCTAATAACCTTGACAGCGAGTAAAGTAATCTGCCACTAAATTATTTGGTCATTGGCTGAGTTTGTTCGTGAAATAATGACAACACAGTTGTAGATGGTTATAAAGTAGCCCACCGGGCATCCACCAATAAACCCTTACCACTGACGTCATTTTTACCCACAATGCTTAGCTTCCGGCGCCATCGTCGAGGGTACGTATGCAAAAAGGAAACACAAAGAAAAGCCTTATCCATTATTAGTGTGTTCGGTGATGGGTCTATTTATGGCTAGTTTTGGGAAAAAAAGGTCCCTATTAGAATACCTGTCCATTACATCGACACATTGGAACCAGTGTTCAAAGTCACCATGTAGAAAAACTGAAGTTGATTGGAGGGGAAGATGACGGGAAAACGTAGACTCCTCGGATAAACTTTCAAAATCAGACATGTCAAATAAAGCCAACATCATTAAATACTGAAGAAAAAGAGTGCCTACACATGGGAGGATTCTGATGCTGTCAAGAGCCTGGAGTCTTATAATTGCTAATTTTGTATCTGGACGGGTGAAGGATGGTGGCTAGATCTTTGTCTCGTGGCAGAAAAGGTTTGTTGATTTTGGTTGACACAGTTCGTTAATCACTACTTTAATGGTGTAAAACGACGTACATTAAATCGTTTGTTTCCGGATAGACCCGTCTTGCCGTATGGCGTAGAAGCTTTTCAAGCTAGCACTTAGCTTGTTAGCTGCGAACAAAAAGACTCGCTTGTTTGCAATGCATTGCTCAGTGTTGTGATTATGAAGTGAAAATGTGAACACAACTGATGAAAATGCTCTATTTCTTATGTCTAGGCGACCGATTAGAACAAGCGTAAACAGCACAGCTGTTCACCATTGTTACCAACACAGAAAAGACTTAGTGACTATTTTGCCTCTCGATCTCAATTGCCGGCCTGCCCTGAGGCTGCACCTGGGCTGCACACAACATACAAATGTGACGTCACATAGTAGAGGTCTACAGTACGATACTCTTTATGTATCATCTTTATTGGGTATTCATTTAACGGTGTGGAATTTTAGATGCAATGGCTGTGTGAATGTGCATAACTTCATCACAATTGAAGAACGTGATACAAGTCTAAAGTACAGTTGCAAACAAAATATATATTTTTTTTTTTACATTTTAAGAAGCTAAATAAAACTACAACCTGCTTTCCTTGCACTCAAAAAAATAATGATTTAAAAAAATTGACTAAAGTGCCACTACACTCTTCAACAATTGGACACCTGTTTAGCAAGAGCTTCCACTACTGGGCATCAGCATGTAAACATGTAGTGTGGGCGTTGAGCTCACCAAATTTTTTTGTATTCACGTGAAACTTACTTTGATGCACACAGGCACAATTAAGCACAGCTGACATCTTGTTGAGCGTGTACAATGCAATGGCATGCGTGTGCATGTGTGTACCCCGTGTGCGAGCTCTGGGGGTGCAGCTGCATTGCAGTACACAAAACAGAGACGGCAAGATGGAGGAGGGGGGTGCCCTTATATAAGATTTCCCTCTAAAATCACAGGCGCTTTTGCATGTGACGCTGCACCCCGACACTATCAACACTTTCCTTTATTATTTAAAACTGGAAAAACAGCCTCACCAGCAGTGTCCCACATTGGGGATAAAAAGTTATTGTGAGTTGTATTATATTATACTCAACACATATGTTTAAATCTGTGGGCTTTTGGATTGTGCTGCTGCTATGGTACTTCTCCTTGTGGGTCTCTAATAGGTCCAAGTCTCCACTGGAGTTCTTTAAAAGCCCTATGGATAGCAAAAATACATTTTTCATGGATGTGTGTCCTTACCTCGTAATGCTCTCTGGACTGGACGGACTTGAGCGAGCTGATCCAGTCCTCCATCTCTTTACGGTTCTCGGCACAGAGAATGAGCCTACGGAAAGGGGTGATCACCTGGAAGAGAGGAGGAGGAGATGAGGAGACGGACGCTTCCCTCTCCGCCGGTGCGACTGAGAGGAGAGAGTGTTCGTCTCTGTCTTTAAGGCAGGGAAAAAGATGAAGAGCCCCCACCTTCCTCTATCCAACCCGCTCAACATCTCTCTCTCTCTCTCTCTCTCTCTCTCTCTCTCTATCTCTCTCTCTCTCTCCCTCTCTCTGTCTCTCTCTCTGTCTGTCTGTCTGTCTCTATCTCCCCCCCTCATTAACGCTTGTTCTCTCATCTCCTAACACCTTCTTGAGTTTGCTCCAGAACAACCCACCCCCCACCCCATGCACCCACCACCCCTCACTCTTTGCTCTTAGCGCTTCACGCCGCTCTCGGCTAGATATGTGCTGACAGGCGAAGAAACGCAGTAAAGGCTAAGAGCTTCCAACCATCCCCTTGTATGTGTGCGCGTGTGTGTGTGTGTGTGTGTGTGTGTGTGTGTGTGTGTGTGTGTGTGTGTGTGTGTGTGTGTGTGTGTGTGCGTGTGTGTGTGCGTGTTTAAAGTCTCCACGACAGATACACTACACGACCTCTCAGCTCGACATCACTTATTGATGCATTCCCTCATCCCGTCACGCTCTCAATCCTCTCACTGAGACTTAGCGATATCACGCTGTCTCAATAATTAAAAAAAAAAAACAGCACAAAATAAAGACACCCATCATAAATTAAATACATGGTAAATACTCAAAACTTCACTATAGTTACGATTACAAATTCATTGAGCTTCACTTTCTTCTAATTAGCCATAGTAACTCTATCCAGTGTTACCATAAATCCCAGTTCCAAAGAATACAAGATTTTGCAAATGTTTTCAACCTATATTCAGTTGAATACAATACAAAGAAAATATATTTAATGTTCAAACTGATTAATGTTGCTGTTTTTTTTTTTGTTTTTTTAAATTATTTTCTCAGAAAAATGACCTACTTCTCTGGGCCCAAGCTCAACTGAGCTGGACGGACACAAAGTGAAAAAGAGTGCTGTGGTCTGACGAGTCCACGTTTCAAATTGTTTTTGCATAGCATTGCCGTCCTGTCCTCCGGGCCAAAGAGGAAAAGAACCACCCGGACTGTTATGCAGGCAAAGTTCAAAAGCCAGCATCTGTGATGGCATAGGGGCGTATTAATGCCATGACATGGGTTACATCTGTGAGTGCACCATTAAAGCTGAAAGGTACACACAGGTTTTGGGGCAAAATATTCTGCCATTCAAGCAATGTCCTTTTCAGGGACAGCCCTGCTTATTTCAGCAAGACAATGCCACATCACATTCTGCATGTGTTACTACATTGTGGGTTCATAGTAAAAGAGTGTGAGTATGACGCTGGCCTGATACATGTCTCTCAGTCAAAATATGTGCTGCATTATGAGGTGCAAAATGGGGCAACAGAGACCCCAGACTGTTGAACAGGATAAGTTGGACATCAAGCAAAAAAGTCACAAAACATATGGTTGGAGTTGACCACAATGTAGTCCACTGGACTGCATCTGGATATTTATCGCACATTCTAACAGACAAGTGGATAAAAAAATGATGAGATGGTCATAAATGTCATAACTAACATAAAAAATGAAGGGAATATAAAGCATTTTTGCCCATGTTGTCTTCTTTAGTACTCAAGTTATGAACCCAGACGTAGACTTAAAAATAAAGCAAATGTCGCACGACTAAATAAAAGTCGGTTGTAATTCTACACTTGAAATTCATGGTTGATGTTGGCTACAATGTAAATGGACAGGGACAGCTTTAAAATGTCCCCATGCGTTCTTATTCACAAGTGGTGAAAGCACAATTGGAGTGTAGTTGCCCGACCCAAACTACAGTTTCTTCAACACATCACTCCTCAATGCAAGTTTGTCAAACATGAAGAAAATACCTTTTTTGGCAGATATTGAGAGCTTAATTATTGTTGTAAACACATGAACATATCCTTTCGATTCAGAATGATATCTGAAACAAGGTGATTAACACCTTCTCATGCCTTTACTGTATTGTGAATGAAAGCGAACAGACATTTCATTAAATGATTAAATGATTACTATCGAGACAGAAAAGTGGGTATCTGGCACAAGACTATCAAGAAAGTTGGACGAGGTGCATTTGTCAAGGGTTACCATCCGTTATCAATGCAAGGACACGATTGATTTTGAATGTTCTGACAAGATGAGGGCGGCCCGGGGGTCGACTGATTAGCGCGTCGGGCTCACAGTGCAGAGGTGCAGGGTTCGATCCCGCCTCCGGCCTTCATGTGTGGAGTTTGCATGTTCTCCCTGTGCCTGCATGGGTTTTCTCTGGGTACTCCAGTTTCCTCCGACATTCCAAAAACATGCATGGCAGGTTAACGGAGCACTCAAAATTGTCCCAAGGTATGAGTGTGAGCGTGGATGGTTGTTCGTCTATGTGTCCCTGCAATTGGCTGGCAACCAGTTCAGGGTGTACCCCACCTACTGCCTGAGGACAGCTGGGATAGGCTTCAGCTCCGCGAGAATAAGTGGATCAGAAAATGGATGGATGGCAAGATGAGCGAAGCATAAAATCAAATCAACGAACTTTTGCTCTCAGTAATTTACCAGATACTCTTGCAAAATAGTCTGCAGACTAATAAAATCTAAACAGGCACCCATTTGATTGAAAGAACATACTGCCTGTACACCCCACACTGATTGAGGAAGCTGAGGTCAAATGCCACCGTGTTTTACGGGGTATAATTTCCAACCTTTTTTCAGCAAGGGGTTAAAAAACAAACTATTGATTTTTAGTGTTACCCAACAAAAGCTACTCCAGAATGCCGCACGTCAAATGACACAACAAAACACTTCTTCTGTTTAATCACCATTAGCCTACCATGCTTCAACCTTCCCCATGAATGTGCCTGATTCTGCACTGATGGATAAGCACAGCCACTGTCAGAGAAACTAGCCCCTCATCAATCACCATAATCACGATACAATCAATCTGTCCCAGGAGCTCTAATCAATACATGCTTACATCTGAAGACAACCTGTATGTGCTTGTGTGTCAATGTGCCTGTGTGTATGTGTGTATATGCGTGCGTTTGTGTGTGTGATCGTTGCCCTTTAATTGACCTCCAAACTAACCGTGTTAGCATTTTCCCTCATTTAATGTGTAAGTGGAGACGACGACTTGCACATGACTGAAAGTGCATGTTTATGTGTAGGCATTGGTATGATGGCCCAACAATCTATTGAAACAGTTTCGTGGAAAAATGAGAACATTTCTCGACCGTCAATGAAATACTTGTGGTTGTATCATCCATCATTTGTCACAAAAAATTGTCCATGTGTTTTGTGTACTTCAATGGAGTCTCTTATTTCTCATATTTTCATTTATGCGTCAGTGACTATTTTGCCTATTGTTGCTCCTTCAGTGCATTCTGGGGTAAAATTAATCTCACATGGCTACAAGCCCTATCCTGCCCATGATTGTGATTATGTTCGAAACAATCAGTGTATGGATAAAAATAGTCCAGTGCAACAATTAATCAGTCACCATTTGTGGTAGGTTCATCCATCCATCCATTTTTTGATCCGCTTTATCCTCACAAGGGTCGCGGGGGGTGCTGCAGCCTATCCCAGCTGTCTTCGGGCAGTAGGCGGGGGACACCCTGAACTGGTTGCCAGCCAATCGCAGGGCACACAGAGATGAACACCCTTCCGCGCTCACACTCACACCTAGGGACAATTTAGAGTGTTCAGTCAGCCTGCCATGCATGTTTTTGGAATGTGGGAGGAAACCGGAGTACCCAGAGAAAACCCACGCAGGCCTGGGGAGAACATGCAAATTCCACACAGGAAAGCCGGAGCCAGGATCGAACCCACAACCTCTGCACTGTGAGGTCGACGCGCTAACCACTGGATCAACGGGCCACCCCATTTGTGGTATGTTTCCTCAGGAAAATACAGTCCGTTCATTTTATGTAAAAGCTGAACTTGAGTCATCTTTGTAGCAAGAATATCAAGTACAGTAAAACATTTGTCTTGATCAATATGGAAAAATTTCCGCACACACACGTTCACCACACCACATTCCCTTCATGTCTCAGAACTACATAATGACCAGGTGTCCGAATGGTTTTAGCCAAATCGTTAAAGAGTATATGCCATTCAAAAGTATACAAAATAACAATCTGTCAGAAACAATTTAGAGTGGAGTTTCTCAGGGAAACGTCTTAAGCCCCATTCATTTTGTATAAATATTGTATGCTCCTTTTCCCTGTAGTTAGAACATAAAGTAGAAATTGATATAATGATACATGAATGGCGGTGAGTTCAACCACCACAAATACTCTACTCCACTGATGTCAAACTTAAGGCACTGGGGCCAGATCTGGATTTCATGTGAAAGGCGAAAGGAGGACCTACTCTACATTTTCTTCACTTTTTGTTTCCTGTCCCAATACGTATGCTCTGTTGTGATGCTTACTGTTCGGCAAAGGCATTCTATGTCATTGAATGTGTGTGTGTGTGTGTGTGTGTGTGTGTGTGGGTGTGTGTGTGTGTGTGTGTGTGTGTGTGTGTGTGTGTGTGTGTGTGTGTGTGTGTGTGTGTGTGTGTGTGTGTCTATACTCTTGTCCCTGCTGGTGTTGCCTTTAAGCGCTGGTGATTGGTTGGTTGCCGAGGGAAACAACAACAGCTGTTTCCCAAATTGGATGCAGGCATCCCTCAAATGTGGAGAACCTCCCTTGATGACTGACCTTCACAACTGTGTGCATGTGTGTGTCTGCAAGTGTGTGTGAGAATGTGATGAGAAGCCTCATTACAATCGACGGCGAGGAACTACACAACAGTGATGCACGTGCACAAGCCTTAAGGTGCATTTCAGTGATTTTAAGAGCGTGGCGGGAGCAGCCCAAGCCGATCCAATCAGAACGAATGAGTCAGTGTGAGGAGGCGGATCTTCCATGCCGAGTTTGTGATGGGGATTCAGGTTTGGAGGGTTGGGAGGGGGCTTGAGCCCTCCTTCTCACATGGACTGCAAGGTGCTTCGTCTCTGCGCCACAGCAATGCTGCTTCATCAAGTATTCATGCCTCATCCTCTTTCTCTATTGCTCTTCATTGGATGCTCATTTACACATAAAGAGACTAGAATGGTCCGAGACTCTCTAAAATATTGGAATATTATGTACAGTATATCAGGAAGAGATTTCATAGGACTCTGTGACTGTGCCGCACTCCAGTGCATCTTTTTTTCAAAGGCAATGTGATTGTGCTGATGAAAGAATGAAATCGGCTGTTGTCTGAAGTTTGAATTCGAGCCTCGGTCTTCCTATGTGGAGTTTGCATGTTGAACCCGTGCTTACGTGAGTTTCTTCCAGCTTTGCAGGGTTACGCCCACATTCCAAAAACATGCACCCTGCCTCTCGCCCGAAGGCAGCTGGGATATGCTCCAGCACCTCAATAACCCTACTGACGATTAACACGATAGAAAATGTTTGTACTATATGTATAGATGATACGCAATATGGCCAGACGTATGTGGCGTGTTTCCAAGCACCCACTTCACTGCGTAGAAATTCTTTGGCCATGTCGAGACTCTAGTGCGTGACTTTCACATCACATCTGAAGGAATTAAACAAGCTGCTTTGATTGACCATGATTGAAATAGGCTGTGACCACTCCCACAGCAGCGCAGCCCTCTCTCTCTCTCACAGATCTGGTGGCCATCTGTGAAATGAAAAAAATTAGGGTGTAACCCTAACCTTAAGCCTATTGTGGCACAAGCATGGTCAGCAGAGCAAATGTTTGGGTTACATTAAATCAAGAGCATTGACAGTTCGCAAGGCATTCAGTAGTTATTAATTGATTCCTACATACTGCAATAAAGTCACTTATGCAAATCACAATGTTGTTAATGCCCTCTATTTGAAAGTCTCATGGGAATAAACACTGAAACATTCTATGAATGCTTTGGTTAAAAATGTAGCTCTGGCTCTGGAGGAGCAACATATGCAGCACACATGCGCTTCAGCCTAAACATCTTCATGGCACCTACAGCGATCACGTGGCTACCAGCAGCACCCACCTGCACAGCGGGCGCTGACACTCATCATCACTGGAACGATGGACAGACCACAAACAGAAAATCTTTCTGCGTCCAATTTCTCCAACTCTTCTCGTGATGAAGTCCAACACCCACCATTGTCCCTGCCTGTCGGCTAGCGTGACTCTCGGTGCACGTGTATTCGACCCCTGCTCGGCACGCCGTGTTACCATCCACAATGCAGGCAGTCAAATAGCATCACTGCAGGATCCCCCCCCCATCCCGTCCCCCCCCCTATTCGTCTTTCCCTCACCACGCTCTCACCAGTTCCCCCTCAATTGTAGCCCACACCGATCACACTTTATGTCTTCACACTGAAAATTGACTTGTGTTCTATTTTGGGCTTCCTCCTTCATCATTATCACCGCCATCGCCCCCAAAACCGCCACCCACTTCAACTCCCACCCTTCTTAATGAGACACTGATGCTGAGCGTCCATCTCCATACTCTGGCATGCAGGCATTTTTATTAAGACTGCTGCACACACACGTTGGAAGACAGACTCACACGAGTCGCAGTTACAGCTAATCTCATTTGTGAACACAGCCAACGCCAGGTCATTCCCATGCAGGAATTTCAAGGCGTATGAAGCTAAAAATAGCAGCACGCTCTCCTCAGGGCACCGTTCTCCTAACGACAACTCCCGCTTACTCCACTCCTCCTTTCTTAATATAGCATCACCCAGGATGAGTGAAGACATTTTTAGAAGCCAAGTATTTTTTTGTCCTCACTGCTGATATTTCAGGTTTGTTACATCACACACTGCTTGCTTCCAGGAAATGTCAGCCGTGCTTCCCCAAGTGAAGATGCCAAAAATAAACGAAATGTCATCTAAAAATATGCCGGAAATATTCACGCTCTTGTCAAGAATATATATTTTGGCTGTCACTAAAGAAACATCTGAAGTTGAAATTGATGAAAATTTCTGCTCTACACTAATTCATCATACCAAAAAAATATTGCGTTGATTAATTTGTCAAGTACTTAGGCTTTGTGTACGAAAATGTAAGTACAATATTCAAGATAGGGAGTTTTTCCTCAAAAAAAAAATACTTAAAGTATCAATAAATGCCCTTACTTTAATTCACATATTTTATACAGCATTTTCTTTAGTCGAGAACTGCAACAAGGCTATAACATTTTTATTCAACCCCGAACAATGTGTTCTCCTTCATGAATGGAAGCATTTCTAATATTCGGGGTTCCAGTTCATCGCTTCCAAATAATCGACGAGAATTAATTTCTAAACTATTTTAACATTAACCTTGGGACTGAAAATTCTGAAAGCATGAGTGAGATGAAGCTCCCAAATGTGGACTTCATCACCCACCCAGCGTGTGTGAGGTGCCAGGAATGTGAACTCACTGTGAAGCTGTTGTTGACATTCTTGGTACTGGACTCCGCAACACTGGCATCTGACAGATCCACTTCATCGAAGATAAGAGACTGCAGGAAAGGTGGAGATGAAGGTTAGAGTCGACTTTCTTGCTAAGAATTTAACATTTGTTACAGGGATGACTACGGCGACAATGATAAGGAAACACCTTTTATCATGGGTAAAGCGAGGCAGGCCTGGAATGGGGTGGGAATGAAAGCATTTTAGATGTGCATTTTGTCTACCAATCTACACAAAAAAACTGACGGAACTATTTTGGAAGTGCTATATGGCACCTCTAATGGCAATCGCACTTTCTCAAAGGGTGCCATGTGCGCATGTAAAAATAGGTGCGGTGCAGATCGAGGAGTCTCCACTGTGGTTTCCGAGCAAAAATAACTGATGAGAGCAACATCCAGTCCAACAGACAAAGAATTCAAGGCTGGCCGAGGATGGGCAATGTACTCTGGTGAAAGCTCCTTGAGAGGTTCACTGTGGCAAAGCCATTAACTTTGGGGTGCTAAATGTTACGGTCCAATGCAAACAATGCATCTAATAATTGCACGTTGCTATGTTATTTTATCCAACAAAACAAACTGACATGACAATTATGTCAGTTAGTAGAGCACAGCCCAACATCAAGTCCATCTGACTGGTTGGATCAAAAAATCATGACATCCCATGCCAAAGTAGCAAGAAAATAGGGCCACAAATGATTATTATTTTCATAATCGAGGAATCTGTCGATTATGTTTTCGATAAAATGATGAATCAGATAAACATTTGTTTTCATAACAGTCTTTCATTCAAAAATACGACCAGTGTTACGACAGCTCAAGTTAAATTCAAGATGTTTTACTGTTTAATTCCATTAGAAATGAAATTTAAGACCAACTTCCCAATGTCCCATGTTGTCCAAAGTTGCTACAGTACATAAATGACACAAATCTGCTTAAATGTACCAACTAAAAAAAACACATCACTGGTGGAGTTAGTCGGTAAATTCCTTTTTTAAAGAATGTTAATTCACTTTGAGATTTGAGACTTTTGAAAGACTTTTTAAGAGTAATTTTAAACTTGATAATAATGACGACTTGATTTCCACAATGATTCAGAGGGGTCAAAGCACACTGTTGTCATATATTTATGAATAAAATTCATTGACAACCACCACACAAATCAGTGAAGCGCAGAATCTGTCTGCCTGCGCATCGATCAGAATTACCAAAATGGTATTACACCATACACCACAACTCAGATCTGCTCCAAGATCGTCTCAAGTCTAGTCTACTTTCAGTCACGAAATGTTCAGGTGCTTTGGAAGCATGTAAAAGAAATTGTCCTCGGTCTGCCAGGACGTCCAGCATGGCGCAGCACAGTCCGCCAAATTCACAAAGACGGTAAACTACACTTCCCCGAAAATGGAGCCCATGGTAATTTGCATCTTAACTTAATTTGCATTTGAATAATTCCATGTTGGGATTCTTTGTTTTGGGTTTTCATTGCCTTTATTTGTCCCTGAGGATGGTGCTGCACCTTTGCCTTCCAATAAGAACGAAGACTTGCCGGTCAACACTGGGGACTTGGGACTGCTCTCCTGGGTGTGTGTGGGTGTACCGCGGGGTGCACCAAGCTTCCTTCCGCAAAACCGAAAAAACACCCGGTGTTACATTTCATTGGAGGCAGTCAGTTTCCTCTGGTTTGTCAACACAGTGAGTAACGGGTGTTAGAAGGCATTGAAAGCATATGAAAGAGTTAGAGAGAGCAACGTTGACATACATTCTCATTGCTCCAAATAACAGCTAAAGATCCAGACTTTTTCAGCGATAACTCACTTTGTTCCATCAGACAGGAAGTGAGCTTGACCACATAATAGCAGTTCTCCAAATCCTGGGTGTTTTCTTTGTGGTTGCTGCAGCAAAATGCATTAAATGCGAAAGACATGTTGGCAAGCGCTAAGGGGTACTTGGCTGAATGGATGACGGGGAGAATGCTTGGTGAGGCGGTGTCCATCAGAGAAGCAAATGGACGACGAGCACAATTAGGAGAACGTGACAACCCAAACTGCGATGCGGAAGGCACATATCAGATGTCTTCATGTTTGTGTATATGTGCCTGCGTTAGCCAAAATATGCCAACCCAAACAACGTCTTATACTCTTGGCCAGCATATGGATGCATCATATTTAAGTGTATTAGTGTCCATTGTATGGCTTTTTAGGGTTCCGTTGACACTCCCAGTGACACACAAACTTTTTTTCCCCACAATAATAACACATACACGCACACAAAACTGTCTTGAGGAAAGCTCTAATGAAAGCTGACAGGAATAGTGGGCAAAGCGTTCCAGACCCTCCAGTAGCAACATACAGTACCGTGTCAAAGTCTGAGGCCACCATGTCATTTTAGCCATGCTATCATGAACATACGGAATATGGACTAACTACAATGGGAGTTAGTCAAATCCCAGAGTAAGGTTGAAAGGCCTTTAAAAACACATGATGTTCGACTTTCGAGGGTCCATTGTATAAAACTGAAGATGGCAGTCGGACAAGCAACATAGTGCACAAACAATGAAAGGCTGACTTATTTTAAACAAAGATTGTTTGTTTTTGCTACCAAACCTGGAATTAGAGCTCGACTGATATGAGACCTTTGGATCCTGTAGCAGTATTCAAGATATCCAGTGCAATAAATATAAAGCATGTTGAGGTTTAAATAAGCCACATATATATTTTAGTTACTTGTCCTTTAATAAATATGATGAAATGTATTAAATGTTGCATTTTTTTTTTGTGAATGCATTCACAAAAGTATCAAATACAGTTCAGTCATTTCATTTAAAATAAATTAAAATATATTTCATGCAGAAAAACTTTGCGAGGAAATACAGTGGGTGCTTTTCAGATTGTTTCCTTTCAAAATGGACCTTTTTAAAATAAATGAGAGGTATGAGACCCTATTTTCCTTCCGGCGCAAGTGTAACACAAAATGCTGTCTAACTGTGCGCATGGGTGGAGTTTTCTTTCTTTTGGTATTTTGGTAGACTTTGGCTGGTAAAAATTGATGTATTTGCACCTCTGTGTGCCATTGTGGGATGGAACGAAGTGTTTTCCCGGCATCCCTCATTTGCATTGAAATCTGGGTGACACGAAGTGCATGCTTGAGAATGCCATGCTTGAACAATGCGGAAACAAAGATTAGACTCGCTGGAGTACGTTCATCACATTGCCAGGTAAACTGCAAAATTCCCCTCTTCAGATGAAGTAGTTGGCCGTGTGTCTGTTTACATTGAGCCAGACCACTTTCTGTCACCAAATTGACAGGTGCGTCGGGGGCGAGGCGGCTTCATGTTCACACCCACACAGGCGGAACATGGCCACGCCAGACTAGAATTGCACTGGCACGAAAATGAAGTCACACCCGTTCTTATGCCAAGCGCCCGGGCAACAGTCTACCAAAATAGGGTCCTTTGTGTCCAGCATAGTTTGACAGTTTTTGAGTTCATGTCTGATCACATAGGCTGTTGGAAAACCGTTGGTGACTAATGGTCAAATAAATGGTCACAAAATGTAGTGATTTAATTTTAGGATGATTACAACTAAATGTTGACCTGTGTTAAGTAAATATGTCATCTATCAGCCGGGCTCTAACTGTGTCTTTACACAATAAGGATGCATTAATTTCATATGGAAACACATTTAAACAATGAGTACGCAAATACGGACCCAATGAGATCACCATAAGGCACGAGTGCATCTCTACAGGCGATGGTCTTAAGACTGTACTGTGCTGACCCGAATTCTCACTAGGCCCTCCTCAGATCCGCTGGCACCCAGAGGTGGGGGTGAGTGCCGCGCGCCAGTCCAGCAGACTGACAGAGCTCGCCAGCATATGCGGCTCCGGGACGCCCGGCGCAGCACTCGCTCTTGCCAGCGGCCCAACACGCTGCCGGACTAGCACACGCACACACATGTACATGGATCGGAAAGTAGTGAAGGGGGCGGCCATGAAAGTTAAAGTAAAAGAAGAATGAGGAGAAAATAAGAATATTGTGATGTGATGTTTTATTCAAAGAAAGTCGAACAGTAATGTAATTTATATGAGAACAATCATTATCAGTCATTCCAAAACAAGTTGCACATACTCCCCGGTGACACCTCTTCAATTTGCCTGATGTTTATTCCCCGAGTGCATCATGATATTAAATGAAAGAATCCGAAGTTTGAATGTCCAAGCTCAAAGTGTTTTCGAGTTCAAGCCTGTCAAATTTTGAGTGCCATGCCCACTTTTGTGATGCAGGAATTGCACACTAAATTTGACAGGCTATAACTCGAATACCGTTTGGGCTAAGAGGCTCAAACTTTGGATTCTTTCTTTTCACGTCATAAACAATGTTCACACTAATTTTCCATCCGTTGAGCATTCACACAAACTCCCTGAGCATTCTTTGGACCATGGTGAGCAACATCAGACATGCGCACGGGCAGTCAAACCAGTATCACACCTATCCAAAACCTGCGATCATAACAAGGTACGTGATGTAGTATGTTATAAAAAATAAAATGTATTAACTATGGTTTCACACAGTCCACTCATAAATCACGGAAAACATGTTATTTAATAAAACTCCTCGCCCGCCTGACCTCTGAAACGCGCGAAAGAGCCTCATTCAATGGGCTCATAAATTGTGTCCATGTTTGAATGGAGCGTTCTGCGTGTCGCCTGCAGCCTCTCGTCTGTGGTGAGTGTGATTGAATGTGTGTCAATGTATGCGTCAAACTATCGTAGAACAACTGAGTGCGCACCCGCGGTCGCACTACTGAAACTGTCATGGAAGTGGGAATTGTCTGGTGTCCTGTTTGTAGACTGAAGTGGGGTGGAAATGAACTAATGAATGTAGAAATGTAGTGTGTGCGGGGTGCGTGCAAGCTGTCACCGTGTGCGCTGAGAAGGTGAGAGGAGTGCGCAATTGCTCATCCGTGCAGCTTAGAGGGAATGTTGATCATAAGGCACGAATAGAATAAAAATCTGACAAATTGAAGAAGTGTCACAGGGGAGTTTCTGGGGATTTGTGTGAAGTGACATGGAATGACCCTTATAAATTAATATGGTAGTATATACTGTAAATACACAAATTAAATCATTCAAGATAAAAAATGATTACAAATAAATACACTGAATACAAATACATTTTTAAAAATTAAAAATGGAAAAAAAATAAAGTGGTGTGTGACTATTTCATTTCAAGAATTGAGACTTTTGAATTTTTTGCAATAAAGGCTAGAATATTCATCCTTCAACTGGTGAAAGTTAACCGCATGGCAATGACTGTTTTTCCCTTTTCCTTTATTGGGTAACAAATAGAAATAATAAAACCTTTGTTTATGGTATATTTACCACAATGTTGTTCTTAAAATTGGAATTTCCCAATGTAGGACTATTGAATATACAGCTATATGTCACATAAAACAGAAGTGTGTGTTAATCTAAATATAATATTCAGAATCGATTTTTTCAAGCGAAGGTTGGTCTAGTAGCAGACTCGATAGTAATTAAGTTATTTATTGAAAAAAATAACGATAGTAGGTAGAAAAAAAAGACGTGATTATGCTATTAATAACTGTGAGCCAGTGAGGAGCTGGAAGTGCTAAAAATATGATCTTTACACTAATTTAAGTGAATTTATCTTTTCTTGTCATGAAAATTGAATCTAATGTAAATTAGACAACCCTCATAGTATTTGCAGTCCGTATTATAGAAATGGTTATTATTAATTTTTACATTTGACTAATTCAAGTGTACATTACCTTGGTGTCTTTGGCGTAGTAGAGTGTTCGGCCTCTCAGCTTGAAGTAACGCTTCTTCCACCTCTGGAAGGAGCTGGTCTGTTTCAGCAACAATCCTTCCTTTATGCTCGTCTGCAGGAAGGGAGGGGAAAGAAAAGAAGCACACATTTTTTAAAAAACTGTTTTAATGCTTCCATGTGGTGCAAATCTGCTTTACACTGCATCTTGCAAAATTAAACGTATTGAAAGCCCTATATGTTAAATTGATGTACTGTAGTAGCACTAGAGCTGAACATAGATTGTGTCCATATTAAGCTTATTTCGAGCCCAATTTGGAGTCAGATTAAGCGACAGATTCATCCGCAAATAACTGAAGCAAGGTTCCTGTGTTTGCAGTGTTTTTGAAAGGCATATATTGATTCCACAATGACTGAAATGTTGCCTTCATTTCTGTTTGTTTGATCATTGACAATAGCTTTAAATACACTCTCGTCGCTTCGGCTTTGTGTGGTCCACAGAGATGTGTGCTATTAGTACTTGCAACTTGCTTGCCAAAAACTTGGGAACAACTTGAACTGATTTGGGACTTGGCACTGAAGCGACTCCACTTGACTTAGAATTGAACTATATGACTGGCTAAGTTTTGCATTTTAACACAGTTTGTGTTTTTAAGAAGGTCAGCAAGAAAAAATTTGAAAAAAGAGCCTGTTTGTTTCATTCATACCACCTGCCAACCCGGGACACGTTCTGAAATTCACTGTGACGCCCACGCACTACTCCGATCGTGGGTGTGTTTGGAAAGGCAAAATGCGTTCCACTCCCATTAACTTCCAAACGTAGCCAGCAGTGGCGCATCGCGTCTCCAGCCGAGGTGCATAGTGTGCGCACAGGCACTCACTCTATTTTTGAATCACCGAACGGCAAATTTGAGCAACTCTCTAAATTTCCGAACGGACATAACGTAACTAAAGATGGGAAGATTTGTGAAAACTGTCCGAACCCTTCGTTTCAAATGTGGTGTTTCCATCTGCATTGATTTGTTTGACAGTCAATATCAGCTTAAATTGCAGGCTACTGACACACATGACTTTAACAAACTGCAACATGTCGAACGTATCATGTGAGCAGTCAAGCTGTTGCTTTGGACTCTCCATAGCAGGCGATTTACTTTCAAAACAATTAGAAATCCTCTTTTCCATTGAATCGTACCAGCTTAGAATTACATACTTTAGTATTACGGATCTTATTATATTTCAAAACAGTACCACAAGAAACTTTAAACTTTTTTTACTCAGGCACTCGTCGTGTACAGTTCTTTTGAGCATGCTATTTTTGGTTAAGTGCGCAGTTGTTTTATTTTCCTCCCACGCACCAACAAAAAGGGTTAGGCTTTGGATAAAGTTAAAAACTTTTCTAACAGTTTCAAACTTTTTCAAAAACATGTATTCAAAGTAATTTTGTACTCTATTCGGTGTCTTTAGGCTCTGAAAAAAGTATTGGGCGTCTTTAGGCCATGAAAAAAGTACTTAGATGTAATGGGCAGCCATCTATAAGGGACAAATCCTTCCCCAATTTGTTTGTTTCTTCTTTTTAAAGCATTGTTTTTATCATAAGCATTCAAAATCCTGGCGGCCTGGTGGTCGACTGGTTGTCCTCACAGTGCAGAGTTGCAGCATTCAATTCTGGCTCTGGCCTTCCTGTGTGCACTTTGCATGTTCTCCCAGTGCCTGCATGGGGTTTCTCCGGGTACTCGAGTTTCCTCCCACATTCCAAAAACATGCAGGGCAGGTTAATGGAATACTCTAAATTGTCCCTCGGTGTGAGTGTGAGTGCGGATGGTTCGTCGATGTGTGCCCTGTGATTAGCTGGCAACCAGTTCAGCGTGTCCCCACTGCTCGAAGACAGCTGCGATGGGCTCCAGCACACCCCGCGACCCTTGTGAGGAGAAGCGGATCAGAAAATGGATGGATATATGGATGGATGGATTCTAATGCCTTAGACAATCATAATTTACTCTTGCATTTGCTTGACAATTGTCATGCTATTGACACATGAAGAACTTCAGTGAACCTGAACTAGCCCAAATTGACTGTGTCAAGTCGCCATCTTTTTGACCTTCCAATGAAAGTGATTTACTTGGAAAAAAAAAAAAAAACTGCTGTGAGGCCTGACTCAACTTGGCTCTCCTCGCCTCTATTTTAAAATGACAACAGAAAACTGAGAATGATTGCATTTAATGTATCCACTGGAATGAGACACACTAACAAACAACAGAGAACAAGGGTTTCCTGTAATTCTTTTTCTCCACCGTGGAGGCAAATTTGTTCAAGAGGAAACTGGGGGAGCCCCCATGTCCACAAGACTCCAGGTGAACAGCAACCGGAATGATGACAACTGGTATAGAAAATGGATGCATGGATGGAAACTAAGGACATTGTGCTGCAAAGTGGAGACTGTGCAGTATAATAGTGCAAAAGCCACACCCTTTTTGTTGTTTCTTGCTATGACAACCAATGAGCGACCAACAGTATTCACAAACCTTAGAAATAGTACCTGGTAGTACCTGCTTCTGCTAGTCAAAAAACATTGCTACATCTTCAGTCTTGTAAAAACAGTATTCCCAGTATACAAACAACATTTTTTTTCAAGAGGAACAATAAAAACATGATCGGCTTCTTCTGCTAACTAAAACACTTAACGAAAAAAAAGGTTTCCACCAATCAAAAGCGATCATCACATCTTCACGACAGCACCACAAGCATCTATTAGTGGCTTCCACATTGGAAGGGATCGACGGTTGTTAAGCAGAAAACAGACGGGAAGATGGGAAACTTCCACGATGGCGAGAATACGAGATCCCGTCCTCGACAATCAAACTGTCTCGGACTCTCTCGACCTTGTTATGTGATGCCAGCAATATACACAGCAAACACATGGCTGCACGTGGAAACGATAAACCATGCACACTGACTCAGGCGCTGCGCACGCGCGCACACACACACACACACACACACACACACACAGAGGCTATTTATAGCGCAGGAAGGCTGTTCTTGGAGGGGGGAATTACAAACAGAGACACAGGCCTGAAGCTGACATCCTGCCCACCAGCTGTGTCAACTTAAAACACAGAAAGACTGCACTGGACTACAAGCAGACGCAAAACTTAGCATGGACTGAATGAGCCTTCAAAAACAGTGTAATGTGTGGATGATGAAATGATATCTTAGACATGATTGCCATGCTACTAGCTTTAAAAGTCAGAAACTATCTTCTTCAAAATATCATTGGTTACCGTGTTTACCGATGGTCACTCATGGTCAGTCTTCCCATATTCAAACAAATGAACATCTCATAAAAAAATGATCAAAGGAGCGACAGTAAACATGTTAAACTTGTAACTTGTACCCATATCACAACTGATGTCTGTTCTATTATGTAAAATTAAGATTTAAAAAACAATTACACTGATTTTGACAAACTCCTTTAAGAATCAGGTTCACAACTATCCATTGATCCATCCATCCATTTTCCGATCCGCTTATCCTTACAAGAGTAGCGGGGGGTGCTGGAGCCTATCCCAGCAGTCTCCGGGCAGTAAGCGAGGGACACCCTGAACAGGTTGCCAGCCAATCGCAGGGCACACACTGACGAACAACTATCCACGCTCACACCCAGACCTAGGGACAATTTAGAGTGTTCAATCAGCCTTCTATGCATGTTTTAGGAATGTGGGACAAAACCGGAGTACCCGGAGAAAACCCACACAGGCACGGGAAGAACAAACTCCACAGAGGAAAGCCAGAGCCGGGATCGAACCCGGTACCTCTGCACTGTGAGGTCGACGCGCTCACCACTGGAACACTTAATAACTATCAGCTAAGAATTTGATTACCAATAAGAATTTTGATTTTGGAAGATCTATGGCACAAGAGCCCGACCTTTTTTGACATTGTCACAAAAATCCTACTGATTTTAGGACCCAAAGTGACACTAAAGGGAGCTTACTCTTGGGCACGGTTGGGTACAGTAAAATGTCGAACCAATTTTTTATGGAAGACAAAACCGATGGCTATTTTTAACAAATCTCCCACTTAAATTGCAAAAGCATCCATTCGCCCAAGCCCTGAAAGGCCAGTGACGTTGTCTTGTTTTGGCGGAAAGAAAGTGAAAACAGTGCAACGGTTGTCAGCCAATGTTATGGTAATTCCCCTGCTCTGTTTTCCATTAGCACGGCTGATGGCCAAATTCCTGGATTAAGGTGAAATACCTCCAATGTGGACTTCCCTATAAGGCTTACTTTGCCGCTCGCTTGCAACCGCAATCGAAGCACTGAGGAGCTCTTGAGGCATATGAAGTCATCGCCCAATTTGGAGCCAATGAAAAATATTGTAAATCCTAAATCTGTTTTGAAAGAGATGGTCCCTGAGTCTTGAATTGAACTGTCCTTTCAGCTACTTGGAGGGTAAAATAGAAGGCAAAATGGCAGAAAAATATACTTGAATAGTATAATAGAATAGTATAAACACAAAAAATGGACAACTGTCAGCAGACAATACTTCAGCTCAGTGAGCATCTGAGATATTATCTTCTCATGTGTGTTTTGCTTTTTTGCCACTACACAAGGGTACCAGTGATCAGTCCAAATGAAGAAAAAAAAAAGGATTGTTGTTCCAAAACAGGAAATGGAACGTACTGTATTGCTATCTGCCTGTAGAGTGCAGACAAAGTGGTACACATTTATCTTTCCTGGATAATCAGTAGAAGACGGTATGTAGTGACCGATAAATTGACATTTATAATCAGGTATCTGCCCGTTTTTGGCGTAATTGGAGACTGGTGCATCCCACACACCAGACAGTGGACACTCAATCACAGCACATTGAGTCTGTCAGCTTGACCAATTAACCATTTTGATTTGTCTGTTTTGTTTTCAACTCCATCTGGAGTGGAGGGTGCGGCCTTCAGCGGAGAGTGTCTTGAGAATTGCACGAGAGAGGCAAATAATCCGAAATTGGGTTGTTGGATTATTTGCCTCTCTCGTGCAATTCTCAAGACACTCATGATGTTGTTCTCCATTCTTATCCTTGTCATAGTTTGTTCTTGCTGTAAGTAGCAGTTAAGTTTCTCAT